AGGCGCGCAGGCGCGGTCCGGCTCTTATCCGCGCCGGGGCACCCGGATGAAGGCGGGGAATCGCGTGCAGCCGGGAAGACGCTCAAGGTCACTTTGTAACAACTTTATTGGTAACCAGCTGGGAAGGACACTGACAGCCACCGGGGATGGGCTGCCGCATAGGGGCTGGTAAAGGGGAGAGGAAAGAGGTTGACCGCTAGCCCCGCAGAGAGAAACGTTTCTTTCGGTTGACACCTGAGACAGTTGGCCTTTTATCAGTTGCTCTTAAGGAGAGGGATCCCCTTCCTGGCCATTTTTCTCTGTGAAATAGTACTGTGTGTGTGTGTGTGTGTGTGTGTGTGTGTGAAAAGGGTGATTCATTACTTGACAGGACAAATTAGGGTCCCCAGCAAAGTGAGTGCATTTCTTTAAAGCAGTGGTTCTCAACCTTCCTAATACCACGACCTTTTAATGCAGTTCCTCATGTTGTGGTGACCCCCAACTTCATTGCTACAAATTGAACATAATTAAAGCGTAGTGATTAATCACAAAAACAGTATGTAATTATATATGTGTTTTCCGATGGTCTTAGGCGACCCCTGTGAAAGGGTCATTTGACCCCCAAAGGGGTCGCGACCCACAGGTTGAGAACCGCTGCTTTCACGGATTTTGGAAAAGGATTCCACAGGTATGCTTACTCCTTTGGATGAAAGACCTGGAAGTGCTGGGACAAAGGAATGAGCAGATGAGTACATCTAAGAGTTTGGTGAATTTGGGCACAAAGTTGACTCTTGGTAAAGTGAGAGAGGTCAGTTTTTCTTCCAGCTCTATGACCAGGAGAATTCAGTGATTATAATGTCTTTCATGCAGGGTCTGAGACTAAAGAAAATACAATGTTTTCAAAACCTACCCAACTTTAACAACCGCTTTTTGCTAACGTTGGACAAATAATTTTTCTTCAGATGACCATAGAAATGTCTCAGAAATGTGCCAAACTTCTACTTTGCTGAGGCTACTGATTCAGATGTTAATCCAGAAACACCTTCACAGACACACCCAGAAATCATGTCTAATCTCGGCCCCCCAAACTGATACATAAAATTAACGATTGTGTGTTTATACTTCAATAATAGATCCTCTTCAGGGAAAAATTATTCTAAATGGACTCGTATATGGAGATGGATTAAGGGAAGCTCCTATCTGTTCAGCTATAAATCAGTAGAGGTAACTATTGAGGAGGAGGAGTAGGCAGGAGACAAGCCAGGATTCCTAATGGGATCACTTCAGGGTACATACCATATAGGCCTGTGGCAGGGAGAGGGGAAGTCTAAGTTCAGGCCCTGCACTGTCAACACGTCGATAAGCAGGTGAACTGGCCTAGAAGAGGAGAGAATAGATGCTTTGTGGGTTCCATCAGTTAGAGTTTAAATATTTATGAAGAATAGTAGGTGTTCAAAGAACAGATGTTGTATCTTTGAAAATTGTGTGTGTGTGTGTGTGTGTGTGTGTGTGTGTAACACGGAGAGAGAAAGAAAGGACCCACCCAATAATTATTTGGTGGAGGAAGAAAGACTTTAAATAATGAGGAAGCATATCCACCTCACACAAACTGGAGGCTAGAAACTGAAGGCTTCTAAAGGGCAATCTAGACAGTTGAGGGCTCTGACCATGGCCATATCTCCAAGGTGCTTTCTAGAGCAATTTACTTGGACTTTGCTGACTTTTGCATCCTCAGACTTACACTGATAGAAGGAGGGGAGTGGATCTTGACTGACACCAACCCATGTTGACAGGGGGTATATATTTGCACTGAGGGAATTTGAAGAAAAAAAGGCACCTTCTGAGAAGAGTACAGTGAGACCATAAAGATGAATAGAGAACGTTTTGTGAAGTGATTAATCCTCTCCGTATTTTTTTCTTAGACTGTAGAGATACGTTAAATTATAAGACATCATCATCTGGTAGTATCTGGTCAGCCTGGTGATGATAGGGGAAGAAAGAAATGGGGAGGTAAAGAGAAGTATGAAAAATCATTTCCCATATAGCTCCTATCCTGCAATCCCCTCTGCACTCACTCACCAAGCAGTGGAGTCTGTTTCTCTTGTTAAATGTGGGCTGACCCAGTGACTTGCTTTGACCAAGAGAATGTCTTGGAAGTGGCAATTTGTGACTTCTGGACTAGGCCTGAAGGGGTCCCATAGCTTTCATTCTCTCTTTCTTGGAAGCCAGCCACCATATCAAGAAACATGGGTTTGCCCTGACTGGTTTGGCTCAATGGATAGAGCATCAGCCTATGGACTGAAGGGTCCCAGATTCGATTCCAGTCAAGGGCATGTACCTTGGTTGCGGGCACGTCCCCAGTGGGGCATGTGCAGGAGGCAGCTGATCGATATTTCTCTCTCATCGATGTTTCTAACTCTCTATCCCTCTCCCTTTCTCTCTGTAAAAAAATCAATAAAATATATTAAAAAAAACACACACATGGGTTAGACTACTAAATACTAAGAAAGCACTTGAACAGAAAAAAGCCTCATGAGAGAGAACTAAAGTGCCCAGACATGTGAGTGAGGCCCTCTTAGGTTCTCTAGCTTTAGTGAAGCCTTCCCACTCAACACAACATGGAAGAGAAATGAGCCTTGCCCAAATTCCTGACCCATAGTCTTGCTCAAATTCCTGACCTGCAGAATCAAGAACAATGAAAGGGGTGTTGGCTGAAGCTGTTACGTTTTATGGTCGTTGGTATGCAGCAGCAGATAAGAAACAGGAGATACTGTCCATCCAATAGTCACTACTCCTATTTGGAGTAGTGATCACTCCATGTGGAGGTAGCAGCACAGCAGTTTCTTAATATGGGAACTTTCAGTTCAGAATTCCAGGTATAGCTCATAGCAAATCAGACAGAGAGAAGCACGTGTTTCTGTGACTGACTCACCTTTCTTTGAGGTATGGGGATGGAGTAGGGTTGTTAGTGTTAAAACTCTTATAATTCTAACCAAAACATATGGAAAGATGTTTAAATTATCTAATTTTGAAAGTTTTTATTTTAATACTTTATAAAGTTTTAACCAGTCTTGTCATGCTAATGTAATAAAAAAAAATGCTATTGCCTTGACCGGTTTTGGCTCAGTGGATAGAGCATCGGCCTGTGGACTGAGGGGTCTCAGGTTGGATTTTGGTCGAGGGCATGTACCTTGGTTGCAGGCACATCCCCAGTAGGGTGTGTGCAGGAGGCAGCTGATCGATGTTTCTCTCTCTTTGATGTTTCTAACTCTCTATCCCTCTCCCTTCCTCTCTGTAAAAAATCAATAAAATATATTTTTAAAAAAATGCTATTTGTGGGAGAAACCAAGATGGTGGCATAGGTAAACACTGGAGTTTGCTGCCTCGAACAACCACTTCAAAAATACAACTAAAAGACGGAATGGAAATCATCCAGAACCACAGGAAGGCTGGCTGAGTGGAAAGTCTACATAGAAGGAATGAGAAAAGCACACTGAGACTCAGAGGAGTTGCGGCAGTAAAGTGCAGAAGTACAGAGGCACACGTGGAAAGGTCTGGCAACTGAGGATGCAGTTGACTTTTTCAACTTGGAGGGAGTCTCAAGCTCTCGACTGCTCTGAACTCCAGTTCTGGGCAAGTCTCTGAGGACCCAGACTCATATGGGGAGAAACTGGACTGTCTGGCATCGGTTAGAACTCTAGGGCGGCTTTCTCTCTGAGGTGCTTACAGCGATTACCGGGACACTGAGAGGCAGGGCCTATTAGGGCAGGACTGAGGATCTGCCATAGCTGTTCGCTCCAC